GCTCAGACTTTCATATTATCTTGCACATGAGCACAACTATATATAAGAAAAATCTCAGCTCGTTTCAACTTGTATTGGTTGACATAGTATTTTTTTTCCTCATACGATGATCCTTATAGCTATAATAGTAAAAACGTTCTAGCTTCTCAGAAACAAGCCAGAAACCCGAACTTTTTTAATCATAGACACAGCTCACTAAAGGCTACAAGATACGTGAAACTCCGACTGAAAAGCATTCCGACATCTGAAAATGTGCCTTGGTCAGACATGTTCATAGAACGAAAATCTCGGATTATTCGTATAGTCATTGTTTCAACTGGTTTTATTAATAATATCACTATTCAAATCTCGAGAACTTTTACCGACTCATCATTATTTTCATATTTAGTTTTGACACTATTCTATCAAATTTGTAAAGAATTGAACGATGCATTTAATCGAAAACACATTAGCAACATACAATTGATTGCATTGACTAGAATAAAAAGCACTGAGAGCTCCGTTTTTTTCGTATCCATTACTTTAAACTGTTTTTACAGATCATATTTTAGTGTTGTTTAAAGATATGCTTCTCGAAAGAGCTTTCGAGTTTGTTCACGCATGTTTTAGCTAATAAAAAGTGTAGTGACATTTATGCAAGAACTTTTACATTGCCTATTTTAATTCAATGTCTACAATAATATATTAAAAATTTATTTAGAAATTTTATTTTGTGAATAATATCTCGGAATAATCTTCATTCTATTATAGAAGTCGATTTTTTTTCAAAAATTAAAAATTGACAGTTTGAAAAATATTTGATTTATATACAACTAATGGGGTTCTTTCGAACGTAAGACTCAGATTTTCTTTATATTCACATGTATCTTTTTTTCGTCAAACGATACAACACGAGCACAATTCACCCTTTCATAACCTTTCATTTCAATTTTTGCGAACATTTTTAGCATCGAATGATCTCTTATTTTTATACACCAGAAAAAAACAAACATAGATTATTCATGCAAATATTATTTTTTATTTAATTATGACTTTTTATTCAATGATAATATTTAATAACTATAATCATTGGAAAACGTATGAAATAAAAACTAAACTAGAATATATTTGTCAACAATTATTAAAGCTAATTTTTCATTTGTTCGTATGAATATTGTTGAATGATAGACTATAAGAATGTATGAATCATCTAGACACAGTAATCTATCGCAGAGAAAAAAAATAGTAGAAGTAAATAATACAACTATAATAGAAGATAGAAGATTAATAGGGTTTTTTTTTCCATTTAGTTATTTGGCTTGTTTACATGTATAGTCTTGTCGTCAGGCAGGAGGTCATCTACTGACAGAAATGAAAGAGAAAAAGGAAGAGCAAACACATATATTCCTATCCAATAGAAAAATATTTTCTTATTTTTGGTTAGAGGAACAAGAGAATAATGTATGTATGTCTATACGTGTGTATGTGCATCAGTGATATGCTTATATATTTTATATCTCGAATGTTGTTGATTTCTTTTTGTATCTTTACACATACGAGACTATTCATTTAGTAAAATATCAATAAATTTATTTCAGATTAATTTCTAACAATGTCGATTCTTTATTATACACTTAATAATTCAGTTTTTACAAATTTTGCTTTTTATTCAACGGCATCAGTTGTTAAAATGATGGCTATGTCTGCATTAACAGTTGTTAAACGAATGTCTAAAGATGTAAGATTCGATTGAATTAAAAATAATAGTTTTTTTTTGAAAATTTTTTTTGTTCTAGGCTTTTGCTAATCCTGAAGATCTTTCATTGGCAACAAATAAATCAGCAGTAGTTACAACAAGTGATTCTGATGTTGAACGTGTTCGTCGTAATCATTTAAATGATATTGAAAATATTATACCATTTGTACTTGTTGGAATATTTTATGTTGGTACTAATCCTGATCGTAATGCTGCACTTTGGCATTTTCGAATTTTTTTTATTTCACGTTTATTACATACACTTACCTATCAGGTAGAATTTAATTCTCTATTTTTTTTTTACTAAATATTTTTTTTTCCGAATATTTTAGTTAGCTTTACCACAACCAAGTCGATTTATTACTTGCATGGTTGGATACTTTACAACACTTTCAATGGCTGGACGTGTTCTTCTTACTGTTCGTCCATAAAAAAAAAATATTTGATGAACAATTCAAAATTTATCTTAGGTTTCAACTCACAACTTTAGTTGATTATTCATCTTAATGCACAACTAATATATTAATCTAGGCTTCAGTAGTGTAAAACATTTCTTATAGAAATAAAAAATAAACAAGCTATTACAACAGCTTTTCGTCTTTTTATCTCAGATTGTTTATCTATTAAATGTTTCAATAGCCTTCAAAAAAAAGGAGTCGATGAATTAAATATATCTGACAAAATGTCTTATCATACCGAATGTTATACAATAAAGTTCCATACAAACTAAAGAAAAACATCTATCTCAAATAGAGTTCTTCGAGTCCGGTTGGTTTGACCTTCGAGATCAACTCGATGGGTTCTAATCTTAAATAAATATATTTTCTTTTGTTCTACATTTTGTAATCGATTGCTTGCGCCATCTATACTACAAACTAAAGTTGTTAATAGAATTTAAAGATAAAACTATATTATTCTTATGAAAATTTATTATCTAATACAAATTTTAAATTATGTAAAAATGATATGAACAACAACTTTAAAGGAGGTAAGACGATGGTAACAATAGAAACTAAAAATGGTTGTTATCAAAATACATCAATTCATAAATGAACTAGTTTTACAATAATAATAATAATAATAAAACTCAATTAGATATTATGTCGATTGGTGAAGAATCAGAAGAATCATTAACATCATTAACTGATGATGAACAAGCAACTATAATAAATATCGATGAAAATGATGATGACGATAGTTTTGAACGTCATCAATATGATCAACATGATAATGATCATGATTTTATTCCATTTTCAGCTCGTGGTGTACCACCTGATGAATTACAAGCAACTCATATAAATCATTATCATGATTTAAATCGTGTTAATATTGAAAATCGAGATTTTTCAATAACACGTCCATCACAATCATGGTTAGCACAAAATGGTTTAATACCAAATGGTCTTACATTAAAAGATTTATTAACTAAAGGTAAAATTTCTTTACCAACAAGTGATAAAACAGGTCGTGCTATACAACATATTACATTTGATTCTTTAATAATAAATGATTTTGAATGTCGTTTACATACAATAATTGAAACATTATCAAATCGTATTCGATGGTTATTACAAAATAGTCGAAAAGTTTTTGGCGTTGTACAAGGTGCACGTGTACTTGTTATATTAGATTTTAGTCAAGGACAAGCAAGTTTTGGACGTGGTGATGAATATCATAAAAATTTATTAGAATTAATTAATGAACAATTAATTTATAAAGATCAATTAGGTTTTATTGCTTATAGTACTGATATTGATGCTTTATGGAATGGTGTACGTGATGTTAATTCACGTGGACTTGATGAAATACGTGCTTGGTTAGCTAATTTAAAATCATCATTTGGTTGTAGTGATGAAAATTGTACACATCTTGATAGTACATGTCCAAATAATAATAGCAAATGTGCATTTAAAACCAATAGTGGTAGTAATTTATTAAAAGGTAAAAGAGAAATGATTTTTTTTTTAATTAAATAAAAATTTCTTAAAATTTTAGCTTTACGTCGTATATCATTGATGTCTGATTTTGATACACTTTTACTTATTGTTGGAAGTTTACCTGATCAAAATATTGATATTATTGCTGATTATACATCACAATTATTTTGTGGACAAGATTTACCACATATACATGCAGTATCCTATGATTGTAGTCATCATCTTGTAAATGCATTACTTAAAACTATGACGGCATCTGCTAGTACTTTTGCTTCATTAGCATCAGCACGTAATCGTACAGAACCAACATCAAATGCACTTGTACCACATAATCCATTAAAGTTAGTATTAAAATATTTCATTTTTATATATATGTATATAAAGGATGTCTTATAAGTTTTGATCTCGATCAAGTAAGAGTTTTTTTTTTCTTTGCAGTAGAATAGGTAATGATATTTACAGTATATTTCTATTTTTTATAGTCACAGAGATATAAGTAGAGTAAAATTCATAAGAATTATTTTTATTAACAACATGGATGAAAAAAAAAAATTGTAGTTATTCGATTAGTCTCTCATAATAAGTATACAGAAACAATAAAACTTACGAACCTCTAGTGCAACATCTTGGTCAAGATATAAGGTATAGAAAAGTGAATAGATGTTGAAAATTTAGATACAAGATAATCACATTATCTTGTACTAAGATCTGTAACTAGAACTTAGATACAGATTTATAAGATCTTGGCTCAAATATCCATGATTCAAAATGATTACTCAAAAATTCATTTATGGATGCTTCGAAATACTTCTGAAATAGTTTATCTGATGTAAAATTTGGTGTTGAAACTAAATTTGAAGTCAGATTTCTTCTACAAACACAAGGAGTTAATTTAGTGATCAATGGTCAATTCAAAAAACTTTCGAAATCGTCAGTCTCATGAACACTTTTCAATGGAGATTGTGTTTTCTTGAGTGATTCAGCACAATCTAATTTCAAGAAGTAGTAAAATAATTTTGAAAAAATATTATTAAATTAAGATCCTCCGCAAGATTTTAAAATCTTGGGTACAGAATGCACGTTCTTTTATGATAATCGAATCAGATGAATTCATACTCAAGATAATCAGATTATCTTGTACCCAAATTGTTCAGATCTACTCACATTTCTGTACCTTGCATCTTGGCCAAGATCTTACTTACAAGATGTTTCACTAGAGTAACGAGTTACATAGACAGATAGATTGATTTTTTTTTGTCTGAGTATATAGAGAGAATCTTTAGACTAGAATAGCCCGTAAAAAATTCGGGCTCATGGTCCTTACGAGCTGAGATATTGAAATTTCAAGTTTCAGTAGATAAGAAGGATTTTGATTCTGTATTGTGCTTATCTTGGAAACAAAAATGTGTTCTTAACTAGAAATTCCATGATAAACTGTTTGTATCATCAGCAAATTACTATGAAATTTTTAGATTTTATCTCATTGCTATAAGTCACAGTATTTTTTCCTATTATATCAACCATCATTACAGAGGTAGCGGTCACGAATGAGGCGAGATCATGTTTTCTGTCCGTTTGCTTCATCGAAATCTTTTCTGATCTCCGAACTATTGGTTTGATCAATGAGACTCAAAGATATACTTCACTGTTCAAGGTTGTAAGAGACTAGAAATACCAGCTCACACTACGTCACGTATTCAACCGCTTGAAGTCTATTTCACCAGACAATGGAAATCGTTCACTCAGTGTATGTCCGATCACATTCAACGTGGCGATATCGTCATTAACTTATCTGAACGAAACAATATAATACAGTTGAATTCTCTTATTCACAATTAGTTGTCTTCGCCTCAATTCGTACCTATAAGTAAATATGCATGGTTCGTGTCAGGATATATCGATCAGCATCCAAGAAATTTTCAGTTTGTCAACAGTCGAACTGTTGCTTATTATGCCTTATTCAATGCAGTTATTGCCACAAGCTACTCTACTTGGAACATTTCTTTGAAACTTATTACTATCTTAATTAGATGTCTGCTATCTTTTCGTGTGATGCTATAATTTTTAAAAAAATGATATCTATAAAACTTTGTTTTGTCCGATCTAGGAGTTCCAAGAAAACGTCTGTGGCTTATAGAAATGAGATAAAATTTAGAAATTTTTATAGTAATTTGCTGATAATGCGGATAGTTCATCATGAAATTTCTAGTTAAGAGCACATTTTTATTTTCTAGATAAGCACAATAGAGGATCAAAATCCTTCTTATCCAATGAAATTTGAAAATTCAATATCTCAGTTCATAAGAACCATGGGCTCAAAAGCAGTTAATCACTTCGGGTACTTTCTTCGTAAGCTATCGAGTTTTCTCTAAAGATTCCAGAAAACTCATATTTTCAAATTTTGATCTGAAATTTTGCGCATATAGACAACTCAACTAATTAGACTAATTTCCATAAAAATATTTACAAATTTTCAATATTTTTTATGGACGCTACTAATGTGATAACTATTGAAAAACTACTTTGGGCTGTTTTGTAAGTGTTGTATCGTATTAAAACGGGTGAATATTTTGAAAGTCTGTTACAACTGATAGAATTAAGTTGATTTTGATACGTTCGAGACGTCCACTACTAGTCACAGATCCTGAATTGGCTTTAATTATAAGATAAATTTTTATTAGTATAATATATTCTGAAACTATTTTCTTCTTGATTAATTTGAATTCATTGTAATAAATAATTCGAATTAGAGTAGAAAATATTCTCTACAATTGTTTATAGTCAAAACCAAAAGTCGTACTCTTTCAATAAGGAAAATTCTTTTGTTTTATTGTTTTTTTTTCTAGTTCATTACAAAATCTTACTAATGATATTCCAGAAATCGTTAAGCATACATATCATTGTTATTCACATGATGAACCACGTCAAATCTATAATAGTACAGATATTCGTCTACTTGTACGTGAAATTCAACGTGCTTATGATCTTTTATCACGTATTAATGAAATGCGTCATGGTGCACTTGGTTCAGCACTTATATCAATTGAAAATGAGCTAAATCTTGAATTGTCACGTTATCCACAATCAAAATTTCTTCCACGTCCACCTAATCATGAACAACCACTTTATTTTCCTCAACATTTTATTGAACAATCACCAATTATATATGTTCGAAAATCACGTGGTTTAACAAGTTCAACAACAGGACGAACATCATCACGATCACAAGGAAAAATATCAAATGTTCGTTTTAATGATACTGTTAGTATTGCTGGTCGTTCAGTTGCATCATCATATAAATCAGCTAGTGCTTCAATTAGAAATGTATGTTTATAAATAGTTTGTTGTTTTTTTTTTAAACTATCTAATTCTCATGATTTTAAAGAGAAAGTTTTTTTAGCAACTTTCAAATAGAATTAGCAAATTTGGTTTTTTTTTCTGAATATTCAATATTTTGAGAAGTTACCATCCATTTTGACTGAAACTTTCTGGATATACTAAGGATTAAGAGACCTATTTATGGGCAAAAGTTCAGATGAAAAAATCCATCTTTTTTGATTTTCCTATGAATACCATATCATAAGCAGAAAATCTGATAAAACAGTCATAATTCCATAAGGAATGTCTATGGAGAGAAATCCTTTCAGATTTTTTTCTAATCTTACTGACTTTTGTGCAGATAAAAATTTCTATTAAGAAGATCAAGCACGATAGATAGTGATGCATTGATTTGCTACAGTCATCTAAAAAAATGTAAACTGATTTAAGTTATAACTTTGAGGAATAATCAATATCAGTATTTCTAAGCTTATCAAGATAATACGATCGAGCCGGAAGTTTTGAGCTAAAATGCTCATTCATTTGTCGATCGATTAAAATGATCAGCAGATCCAACAAAATATTAGTTTAAAATCAGAATTTTTATTAGACTCATATTTTAGAAGTTATAAACAAATCTTTGAAAGGCGTGAAAAAAAAACCGTTTGAACGAAAACAATGACAAAAATCTCACTTCCTTTCTTTTGACCAGATCATTTTTTGGATCAATACCTAGAGCATAGCATGGTGAGCGAGACCATGCTCTGTAGGGGTGTGTGTTCAGAACTGAGGTTCTCGAAGTCATCTTCCAACAATAACCAAGTGGATTTTATGAGTCGGAAAATATCAGTGCACTTCTTGTCAAAACTTTTATTACTGGTAGATGTCTTACGAAAAAACTAATCATCAAGATATCATTTCGTCGAGAAATATTTGCTCTTTCTTTTGATGTATTCGAAATAAATTTTACTTCTATCCTTTACGATGTTTTTTTTTGCGCTGTGGAATCTATCCAAACGTTATTTTCATGTCAGTTGAATAAATGGCAAATAGGGCGTCAGTAAAAAAAACAGATCGTTTCTCTGACAATCGATTATCCTTGGAAAACAACAATAACCTGCTAGAGATTTTTCACTTTATATATTTTGTATTTGTATAATAAAGCTAAAGAACACATGCGAGTTCAGTGTTTTGTCTAGCGAGAGGGTGGTGCCCGTTCGGAAGAGAAAATCTGGATAAAACACTATGTAATATCCATATTTTATTCCGAAAAGAATTGTATTACCAGCTTTTATTCTTTTATAGCGCGATACAAGTACAGGTAGACAACAACAACAACAACAACAATCATTACCTATTTTATCAAGTAATAATCCAGCTGTTTATCGTACATCAGCTAATTGGCTTTCTCAACATGGTTTATTTGCTAAAAAATTAACATTATTTCAAGTTCTTGCACCAAATGCTTATTCTCCATGTGAAGATTATATACCTATACTTGGTAAAACTGTTACATCTCAAGTACATGAACGTGCTATGGTTCAAGTTGATTGGCATGATGGTACAACAAAAAATGTTCATGTTGATCTATCAGGTTTATATGAATATCAAAAACGTTTAAAAAATTTAGTTGAGTTATATGAACAACGTATGGAATGGTTATGTTCATCATCTCGAAAAATATTTGGAAGTATTGTAGAAAATAATATTATTTTACTTGTTGATTGTTCATTAGCTAATCGTGATTATATTATACATATACAACATTCATTAAGATTATTACTTGAACAACAATTATTTGGTAGAAAATTTTTTAATATTATTGCATTTGGTACAAATCATAAAGATGGATTATTAAGATTTAAACCAACAATGGTACAACCAACTATTGAAAATCTTCAACATGCTTGGCAATGGGTAAGAAATTAATTTATTTTATTTCATTTAAGATTGCATTGATATAACATCATTTAGAATAGGAATATACGGAATCCGAACTCTAGTTCAGTAGTAGATCTTACTTCTAACAAGAGAAGGTCCTCAAGTATGACGCACTGTTTTGAATCGTATCTATAGTATATGAGAAAATCGAATTACGGGATTTTGACCTGGAATTGTGACTATCGATAAGTCTCATAGTTCTAAGAATGTCCTAAAAATTTCAGCCCAACAGAATTCTTCTCTCTTGAGATATCAAATGTTAAAGACATTCGCTTTTCTGACCTTTTCTTGTGACACATGATCGTTTCTTAGAACTATGAGACTTATCGATGGACACAATTTCAGGTCGAAATCCCGTGATTCAATTTTCCCATATATACCTTGAGGATGCGAAAATTTAGTAAAACAGTCATAATTCGAGAAGAACAGCGTATGAGGAAGAATCTTTTTAGGGTTCATCCAGTCTCATCGAGCTCTAATAATTGATATAGATACGATTCAAAACGGTACGTCACACTTCGAGACCTTTTCTCGTAAAACTTCTTGTCGAACACTACTAACTTTCATGTTTATTAAACTAAACATTCAAGAGTGTAACGTTAAGACAGATCCTATCTATGCTATTTGATTAGTTCAAATAGCTACAGCATACATAAGAGAAGATCATTCTATAGATAGATATAGGACAAACGACTTTTGCCTATAACTAAATGCTTTATAAATAGACACAGTGAAAAGCAACAGAATGAAATAAGAAAATCTCTATAGATGTCAAATTGTTTTGTCCATATCAGACCAAACTTGAACATTAGGCTTGAGTGCTAGTCTTGTTTGGAATATAAGTAACCAGACATTCACTGTTACATATTCATACTAGAGTCCGAGATGGGTCACCAGGTCTGAACTTTATTTCTTTTTTCAAAGAATACATGAGTTTTAAAGCTTGCAACTGGTAAATAAAAGTAGGGAATTTATTTATTTCTCAATTCGTGAACATTATATGATAATAAACTTTTTATAAAAATCTATATATTGAATTATTTTAGGTATTAACATTAAATTGTGGTGGTACTCGTAATCTTCTTAATGCTTTACGAGCAATTTATGAAAATGAAGAAGAACGTAAACATCATTTATATCCTGAAGGTATTTATTTATTAACAAGTGGTATACCAGATCAATCTCTTGATGTATGTTGTGCATATGTTGAAGAATGTAATGTTGGTAAATCAATTTATTTACATACAATATTATTTAATATTGATGATTATTATTTATCTGAACATGTTATACAATCAAATATATCTATGAATGTAAATGGTCGTTGGGCAAATGCAACAAAAACAGCTGAATTTATGCGTGCATTAGCTAAACATTCAGGTGGAAGATTTTTATGGTTTCGTGAAACAGGTATTATTGAAAGTGATGATATTAAATTATTACAAAATGAAATTGATAAAGCATGTCAATTTTCTGAACAAGCTGCAAATCTTGTTGAAATAGTTAAATCAAAACGACGTATACGTGAAACAATAAATTTAAATCAAAAACTATTACCTATTGAACAAACAGAAAAAAGTTCAGGACCATTAGTTGTTCGTCAAACATTATTAAGTGCTGCTAGACAAAATATATTTAATTTAAATAATAATACAGATGAACAACATTGGAGACCAACAAGTACAAATAATAATAAAAATTTAATACCAGAATGGCCTGATGATAAAATTCATCAAGATATAACACATTCAAGAAGAAAAAGGTACCTACTATAGGATTGTTTTTGTTTTAAGAAAAAAAAAAATTTGTTGTTTTTTGTTCATTTATTTTAGACAATCAACATTAAAACAAGAATCATTTTATTTGGATAGTCAAAATAATACAAAATTTTCAGTTATTAAAAATGATTCATTAAATACATCGACAACAAAAAATAAATCTATTAGAAAATATTCACCAGGAAATTTAGTACTTATACCAACTAATGATGAAAATGAAACATCACAAGTAATAAATGTTATATTACAAAAATTCGATAATTTATTTATTTATTTAGACATGGTTAAGAAAATATTCACTTATTCGATTGAAACTTGATCTTCATAAAATGGTGTCTGGACCCGAATGTAAGTATACGAAAAAATTTGCTGATTATTTTCAATCGATTGAAATAAAGAAATAGTTAATTGTCAAGTCATTCGGAACCTTTTGAAGATAATAATTAGATTTATTTCGCTTAGAATACAACCATCTATATATATATAATGTTCAGTGTCTGTCTGAAGTCTCTGTGCCCAAGTCAAAGGTCAAATAATCCTATAAGCGGAAGGTCTCAAGGGTAGTGACCGGCGTGACTGCCGTGACTATCAGTGGGTCACGGTCACGATCATGGCCGTGACCGTGCGTGACTTTTTTTAAAGATCGTGACCGTGACCGTGACTGGAGCTTGGTCACGGTCAGTCACGGGAACTTTCTCGAAATTTTGGAAATCCCTGAGGGGAGTAAGGGGACCTTCGCGAAGCTACCGTCTCCCACCCGCTCATCAGTTTTTATGAATAATTTGGAAGTTTCTAGTATTCGTGATTTTGGAAACTCCTGAGGGGAAGCACGGACACCTACGCGAAGCTACCCTCCTCCGATCATCACTTTTAATAGCAAACAGAACCCTAGTCTCAATCCTGTTCATTCCTTTAGAAATTTTGCAAGGATCTGTCAGGATTCTAAATCTCCAAGATCTTATCAAGTTTTCCTCAGGATCCCGGCTCAATTCCTGATAATTCCTGCTGCCGGGATTTCTCACAGTTATACAGGATCCTGTTTAGGATTTCTTTCCGTATCTGACCAGATGTGTTTGTAGATAATGAATACAAGATCCTTCAAGGATTCATTCATGATCCTGCTTAGGATCCTAACAGGGATAATGGAGAGGATTCTCTCAAGAT